CCTAAGTTAGGCATTCCTAACAGTTGCCATACGTGACCGAAATGGGAGTGGCCGAGCGCAAGCTTAAGTTGGGCATTCCTAACAGTTGCCATACGAGGCTGAAATGGGGATGGCTTTGAAACTTGGAAACTAGGAATATTTACAGACATCTCAGTGTCGGACGTACGCTTGCGTGAGAGCTTTCAACAAGATAAAAGCTTTTACAATTTAATCCATACAGTGTCTTGATGAGGTACTCCTCGTGAGATTTCATTAATGTCTCCCAATGACAGCTTAATAAAGCTATTTTAATATGGGCCTAATGCGATTGGCCTCATTGGGAAAGCCTAGTGCGGCCCTAACGCGACTTTCCCAATTAGGCGGTCGTGAATATTCCGCGTTACGTACCGCTTGCGGGCCTAACAGGCAAATCAGGCTAGCCTAATGCGGACCTAATATCTGCCTAACTGAAATTCTAGTCGGGTTAATAATTGAAAAAATTTTTCACACCGTTGTTCATTATACACACCGAAAAAAATCTCGAATATTGCCGAAATTTTCAAGTGCACCGTACAATGGCACTTTCACTCAATAAACGGAGAAATTCGAACGCTACCCCACGAATCCCATTTCCAAGGGGTAACACGCTCCCGGAAGCTGCCACGTACGGACGAATAAGAAACGGATTTCCTTTGATGTTGAAATTACCCCAATAACATAATTCACCCCGATGACGTAATTTGACGTTCATTAGATATTAATTGAGGAAGTGAAATTAACGCTTTCACCAGTTCTGAGCGCTCCCGTGTAACCCGGTAGAATCGGATCTAACGTCAATGCGACGAAACTATTCCGAGTCGTTATCGTTTCCAACACCAGTTCAATATCGAGTCTCGTTCGACCAGAGCTACATTGGCAATTTGATGGCTAATATTGAGCTAACAGCCGGACTACGGATAAGAAGTTAATGCCACAGTCGAGCTGATAATCTTGCGAACGATGTGAAATAGAAATGGAAACGGGCTGCAGCTTAGTCTAAATGTGATATACTTATTGGAGATGCAAAACTCGCGAAAATAGCTACAATTTAAGGGTGTAACACGTTTTTTCCTGTTGTTTCGTTGTTTGGTTCGATTAGGTCATCCTATGAGTAATATCGCTTTTTATCTTGGCTTGATATTCGTACATAATGGAAATAACAATTTTTTCTTTACATTTATTTTTTGTGTGTAATACTTGCCGTTTAAAGAAACGGAAGTTAAATGGTAGTAAACATCGTATAATTATTTGTAAATATTTTGTAAATGGATACAAATAATAAAGGGAAATTTTAAAAAAATTTATCTTTTCTGGGTTTAATTTACAATTTGTAGGACATTTGGCAAATTTGTGTAGTGTGTTTGAAGATGTGGAGCATGAAAGTACTTTTTCAGTGATCCATACCATGTTGCTGCATGATTATATTTGAAAAATAAATAATAGAAGAAATTAAATAATTGAACTAGGAATTAATGTCACATCTAACATACTCTCTTGGCCATTG